GCTTGAAACAATTGAAGCATGGATTGTTATAAGAGCTGTAAGCCTGGTCCCTTCGGCCCTTCATGGTCACACATGTTGGTGTGCTGCTTCCATGTGGGCTTTGTTGCTTCTGGGCTAGATGGCTGCTTGTTTACTTTCAAGCCTTTAAGTCTCCAGACGCTATAGGTCTGGATAGCCGGGCACCATCAGCCTTCTTCACCACACTTACTTATGCACACATTCATCTTCAGCGTTTATGTGGGGAAGGTGATCACACAATGATGGTTTTTGTTCTTTGGTGTCTGCTACCTGATCCCTTCAACACCTCGTGTTCACACAGGCTCGTGTGCTTCTTCTCTGTGGGCTTTGTTGTTTCTGAGCTAGATGGCCGCTTGTTTGCCTTCAAGCCTTTAAGACCCCAGACACTATATCTTTTGATAGCCAGGCACAATCAGCTTTCTTCACCACATTTTCATCGTCAATGATGGTGGCACATGATGGAGATCCAATGTCCATCTGTAGACAACTGGACATACCTTGCAGAGGGGTAGTGGGGAGGAGATGAGTCACTTAGGGTTCAGTATAGCAATAATGAAACCCACAACCTTCCTGTAGTTCTTAAACACTTCCTCCGCCCAACTACCATGACCCCAATTCTGCCTTGCAAACCTGGTTAGACCAGAGGATGCACAGCGGTACAGATGTGAACTGGAAACGCAGAGAATCTAGGACAGATGAACCCCTCAGGACCAGGGGTGACATTGGTGATACCAGGAGGGAAGGGGGGGTGGTAGAAAGGGGGAATTGATCACAGGGATCTACATATAACCTCCTCTCTCGGGGATGGGCAGCAGAGGGGTGGGTGAAGAGAGACATCGGGCAGTGTAAGATAAGATATAATTATTTATAAATTATTAAGGGTTCAGGGGGAAGGGGGGAGGAAAGGGGAGGGGAAAAAAGGAAAATGAGCTGATTCCGGGAACCCAAGAGGAAAGCAAATTTTGGTGATGAGGGCAACAAATGTATAGGTGTGCTTTACACAATTGATCTATGTATTGTGATGAATTGTATGAGCCCCAATAAAACGATTAAAAAAAACAGCTGTAAGAGCCCCCAATAAAATGATTTTTTTTAATTTTAAAAAATTGAACCCTATGAGGTTCTGTAAGTCCTATGGGGTTACTGTGAGTCAGAATCAACTCAATGGCAGTAAATGCTGATTTAGTAGCAATATTTTTTTATGTTCCAACTTATATCATAATCAAGTGCCATTTATTCAATAAATACAAGGTTTGCTTAACATTCGAAAATTAATCAATTTATTTTACCATATTAATATACTGAAATAGTGCTGCAGAGTAAGATTCTAACTCTGTTAGGGGTTAAAATTCTGTAAGTGGATTAGAGCTATACTACTCAAAATCAATTAATCTTATTTTGATTTTGATTACTGCAATATAATCAAGTATATTGTATATGACATATAAAATGTTTCACCCCTACCACAAATGACTATGAAAAGAACTATGCATACTGACAAAACTATCTTTTCAAATGGAGTAAACGTCACATCCTAGAGGGACCTATGTTAGTAACGTCTACTTGTTCTTCTTCATTTGGTCAGCTCAAACCCACCCCCGAAAAGAAAACGTTTAATATCTCCTGGCTGAAGAAAGAGTACCCCTTTGTGAGGTCTAAGACCAGAGAGATCATTGCTGCTGTAGCCACAACAATGGCTTACGCATAGCATCGATGGTGAGGAGGGCACCAAACCAAGCACTGCTTCACTGTGAGTCTGGACCCACTAGATGCTACCCTACAAGTCAGAACACTGGCCAGCAGTACGCCCTGAAGATGAGATGCTAGGCTAATGCAAACTGAAAAGGGTACATCTCCCCTAAGAATGGTCAAAGAATTTTGATGGAAATCCTTGATCACAATAAAAGGAAAGAGCGCCCTAAAATTTAAATGTCTTGGACAGCTGCCTCAGGACCTACATTTAAACCTCATTTTACAAAGGCTTGTCAATAATTTGGCCCATGTTAGCTGATAGGTGCTGAGTGGATTTTTCAAATTGCAATATACTGAATGTGGCGACCAAAGTGTAAAGGAAAGACTGACTCCGTCAAAGCTTATGTTAGTGACGTTTGGTCATTTTCACTACAATCAACAGTCAGTCTGGAGTAATATCAAGCATTATCAACAGAGAACATTTGGAATATTAATGATAATGCTCAAGAATTTCAACATTCTGTTGGATCACCTATCTTTGGACTAGGCTGAAATATGGATCTCTTCCAGTCTCACGGAGTAGCTATAGTTTAAAATGTAGTAGTAACGTCCCGAGTAAAACCCATGACCTTGAGTAGAGTCTGTGAGTTCCATGTGGTCATCACAGTGAATCATCGAACCCAGCTGAGAAGTAGAGTGCTGTGGGACGGCCTCTGGAAAGGGAAGATGCGGTGTGGGGGGTGGGTGTGGGGAATTGAGGTTGAAGGAAATCCTGGGTCTGGAGGAGACTCCAGTTGTTCAAGATTATGGGTTTTACTGGGGACGTTAATAGTTTCCAATTCAAGGTCAGAAATGCACAGAATACAGCTCTTTGGACAGAACAGCTTCTTTGCTGCTGTGCTCCCAGACAGGCCTCTATCTGGGCTTTGGCTCCTTGGCCTTACCCCTCCCTTGTTCCAGCAATTTTACAAAGCTCTTTTGGCACAGAGAAATACCCAAAGAGCACTCCACTCCACCATAGCCTCTGCTCAAAAGCACCCAGTAGTAGCTCAACAAACCTTCCCTGGTGAAGGGCCTAAAGGCACCCCACTCTGCAAGTGAGCCTCCTGTTTGAAGGCCCTCAGTTTTACTTGCTCCGTGGACTGGGAAGCTCAGCACTGTGCCTCATGCTCTAGCTCGGCTGCTGCTGCTCTGCCACACTTCTGGGGTCACAGCTTTCTCTCTCCTGGATCTAGGAGGTTCACTGTGCAGGGATCACAGGATCCAAAAGACCTGCTCCACCTTTGGCTCTTCTCTCTTGGCAGTGAGATCCTCCTCCTTGCGTCTGATACAGCTCACTTAACATCCACCAGGATGACAAAAGTGACCACTGCCCTCATTAGATTTCACCATTAATGGCTGTTAACAATCACTTGCAATTGAATCACATAATTGTATCAGTATCTTCCCCCATCTTTTCTCCGTCAGAAGGTAGTTTGGAGGGAATTACAAAGACTATGGCTAGAAAAGTCATATTACATCACTCATGGGACTACATTATCCCATCTCCATTTAATAGGTTTTGGCCTTTTGTCACAGATCAGTTGTCCATAGCTGGATAGATTTACTTCTGGCTTCTCCATTCCGATCCATTGGGCCGTGTCTGTTGCTCTACCAGCATCGGGCGATTCTCATTCCTGTGGCTGTCTAGGATGCTTTCCAATCAGGAAGTAGAAGGCTTTTTCACTTTGTTCTTCTTGAGACGTGCTTGGCTAATTTGGGATCTCTTTCCTTTCCATATAAAGTTTTCCATCTACTTAAATTTTGGGCTTTGAAATATTAATGATACTGCTCAAGAATTTCATCATTCTGTTGGATCACCTATCTTTGGACTAGGCCCAAATATGGATCTCTTTATAATGTAGAGTGCGATGGTGAGTATTGACATTATCACAAGATTAAGTGCATGGAAATCAACACCCACTGATATTTGATCAATGAGAGAGAAGAACAAGAGGAGCCAAAATGGACATTCTTCTCCCTACTACAGGCTGTTCAACAGCATGGTGGCCTACCTGAGACATTTCTCATACGAGGAGCGAGCTCTGTGTTTTTGTGAAGCTGTGGTTAGCCCAATAATGGACCACCTTGTAGCCTGTCTTTCCTTTTATCTTCTATAACCCTTCATCCACGCAAAATCTTCTATTTTATCTTCTATAACCCTTCATCCACGCGATGCATAAAGTTCTCAGTGGCTACTCCCTCCAAAATGGGCCGCCAATTCCTTCTTCGTAGCCTGTTCTTAGTCTGAAAGCCCTACTGAAACCTATTTACTTCGGGTGATCCTACTGGCATCTGACATCCCAGTAGCCAGTGTCAATGAGATGGATTAACACAATGGCAGCAACAGTATGCTTAAGCACAGGAACACTTGTGAGGATGGCACAGAACTGGGCAGTGTATCATTCTGTTGTGCGTAAGGTAGCTATGGGTTGGAACCAATTCAAGAGCACCTGTGATAGTTAGGAGGGGGATGGTGTGCCAACCTGGCTCCCATAGGAACATATGGGCAGAGTATAGCCTGTCAATCAGGTCACAGCTTGATTGGAGGGCAACTGGGCTAAATGGCTCTTTGAGGGCGGCCTCTTCTTTCTCCCTGGAGGCAGCCACACACTCTCTCTCTCTGCTTTTACCTTCCTGCTATTGAGTCACTCAGAGACCTGCCTGAGCCTTGGAGATGCGTCCACAGCCATTGGATCCATAAGACTTGGCACCCACCGGCCGGTGATCTTCCTGCACAACCACATTGCTTGTGGTTGCCTGAGTCTAAGAGTGATTTATGGACTAGTATTGGATTTATGGACTAGTATCGGACTTATGGACTTGATTTGGACTGGGCTGGGATATTGTTTTGATATCCAATTACTCCTTAATAGAAAGCTCTTTCTTACACATATATGAGTGTCCCTGGATTTGTTTCCCTAGTCAACCCGGCCTAACACAGCACCTAACAAAAACAACAGGAACATCCCCTCATCCTCGATGCCGTCAGATGGCATTCTCCAGTAAGTTTTATTGCATAGACTTTCTCTCAGATTCTGTTTTCTAAAGGACTGAAGCTAAGGGACATAAAGAGTATAGCTTACCTGCTCCAATGGAAGAGTTGAGTAGTTACAACAGGGACCCTTATGGGCTACAACGTCCAAAACATTTCATCTGAAATATACTACTGAACTGAAATAAACTTGTTCTCTACCAGGTCAAAATATCCCCTAAGGGAACATAACAGAAGTTGCGTTTTGAATACATACCTGGAGTCTTTAATGCAGTGGGCAGCTGTGAGGACCCACCTCTCTTTCACTAAGCTTCCTCCACATATATGAATGAGAATACTGCCAGACTGGACTTGCAGGCTCACTATCCACGGCCATGCACCAGCTTGCGCTTCTGTGCCCCCTATAATCCGAGAACCTTTTAACACATCCACCAACGGGGCCGTTCCACAATCTAAAAATAAAAGTGATGCGGCTATATTACATGTTACTTCTTAATCTGAGCATACTAATATAATCCTTTAAATTCCTAATTAAAAAAAAAACTGGATACCCAATGCATACCCATAGTTTGAAAGATTTTTAAAAGAACATTTAAAAAAAGAAGAAGCACATTAAGACATGAGAAGTAACTCTTGGTCTCTCTGTGTCTGGAGTAAAAGAGAAAGAAGGAAACCAGAGAGTCAGAGAAGAAACGAGTCGACAAGAACCAGGAGCTCATCTACGCAGAGACCAGAAGAACTAGCTGTGGCCCATTGTCATCGCGACCACAGTAGATGGGTCTAGATAGAATGAGAGCAAAATGTAGAACCAAACTCAAATTCTTAAAACGTCCGGGCTTGCAAGACTAGTCCAGACAGGAGGGTTACTAAAGCTTTCATCCTGAGCTACTCTAGAACTCTTTAGCCAAAATTACTGCATAAGGTCACACTTTAGCTAAGGAAGGGATGGGCTTGATCCTGAGCAACAGTATCCATGAATATTGTGCTCCTTTACGAAGTCATCTATAGGAGATCAAACAAGCAACACTGATTCGAAAGCAAAGAGACCACAGGAGGCATGAAAATCAGATGACTGGCAATGGAATGGAAATCAGGAGAAAGCTGACATGCTGGCAAACCTTAATCAATGTCACTAAACAAACAGAGAAAAAACTGCTCAGTGGGAATCAAATGTGCTGTGTAATCTTTCACCAAAATCAAGAAAAAGTTCATTGCTTAATAAGCACTATTAAGACAAAGATGAGTTAATTATTTGCAAATAGACAAGAATCTCGCACAATTCATTAATTTAAAAACTCTAGTCACCAAAATTAGAGTCTGAAAATGAGGTCAATTTCATTGGCCTGGTATCACCTTAAGGTGATTGGCATCTGAGGCTGGTAAAGCAAGTTCGTCCCCGTGCTATTTAATTGGGGGGCATTTAATTTCTTAATTGTAGCGTGAAATGGCTGCTAATAGTTCTTTTTTTTTTTTTTAGTCATTTTACTGGGGGCTCTTATAACAGTCCATACGTCCATTGTGTCAAGTACATTTGTACATATGTTGCCATCATCCTTTTCAAAACATTTTCTTTCTACTTCAGCCCTTGCTATCAGCTCCGCATTGTTTTCCTCCACCCCCCACCCTCCCTCCCTCATGACCCCTTGATAATTTATAAATTATTATTTTCATATCTTATACCCACCGCTGCCTCCCTTCACCCATGTTTCTGTGGTTCATCCTCCTTGAGGGAATGATACGTGGATCACTGTGATGGTTCCCCCCTTTCTCCCATTATTGTTCCTGACTCCCCGTGTCCAGAGCTCCTATCTGTGCCAGTGTACATGACTCGTTTTCTCAGTGGGAAGAATAAACCTCAAACCGTTTTGAGCAGCCAACGTGGGTAGCGTGGAACAGAAGCACAGCTGCAGGCAGTTTGGCAGCGTTGCTGCTCTGTCCCAAGGAGCCCCTGGCTCGGGGCTGGGGAGCCCACCAAGGGCGGTGGGCCACGGGGACTCAGAACCGGCTCGGTGCCAGCGGACTGGGGCAGTTGGGTCTGGTGTGATTTTGGCTTGTGGTTAGAGGATTTGCCTAGAAACGGCTTAGAGGAGGCTGGGACCACAACCTCGATCAAAGTGGGAAAAAGACAAAGGACATCAGTCTCTGCAGACCCTCCCCTGCGAGCCCGACCCTCCCCCGGCCCGCAAGTACCCTTTTCCTGATGCTCAGTGGCCTCCAGGCGCCTGGCCTCGGCCCCCAGCAGGCCAGCGGCCAGCGCACCCCAGAAGCCGAGCCCCCCCCTCCTCCGCTCGGGTGGGTGGTGCTCCGAGGACCAGAGGGAGCGCCCCAGGACCAGCAGCAGGATGCTCAGGAGGCCCGGGCCCATTTTAGAACCCCCCAGTGGGCAAGATGGCGTCGGGTATGTCCGGCACCCGCTTCCCCACTCCCCACCCACCTCTAAGCCTGCCCAGGCGCAGGGCCTATGGGGCTGACCAGAGGGGGGCCACCGGCGTGGGGCGTGGGGCTCGAGGTACTTGCTGCAGGTGAGCCGTGGGAAGTGGGTGCTAGTTGGGGGGCGGGGGAGGGTTTGAGAAACAGGTGAATCATGGGAGGTGGGCAGCAAAGCGGGGGTGAAAGGGGAGGTTCACCCCAAGGCCGGTGGGTGGGCTCGTGGATGAGACCCACGACAAGGGGCAAGTGAGCCCTGCGAGGGTGCAGGGCCAATGGCGCTGCCCGGACACCACAAGCCTTCCAGAATCCTCCCAGGCAAATGAACTTTGAATTCAGCAGGGCCAAGGGTGTGCTCCTGGACGCATCAACTGGGAGGACACTGCAACGTGCAGGCACCACTAGGGGAGTGCAGACACGGAAACTTCCCGAGGACAGACGCGCACCAATGGGGAGGTGGGGATTTGAGACACTCACACTCCGTGAAAGAGAAATTAAGAGGTTTTTTTTGGAAAGTCCAGAAATTGACCCAGAATGTGGTCAAATTCACACAGTTAAAATGACTGCTTCACTAGACAAAAGGGGAAATTTTAATTATTCTTTTCTGTACAGAGCAGGAACAAACGTTATGATATCAGAATTGATAAATCAGGAGAGAGACAAAAATGGGATTATTTTAGTAGTGGGGATTTCACAGGAATTGATGGCTAACGTGTCAGTGGTCATGCCCGTCAGATTATTACAGCGTGGTCACTGGAGAGTGGTAGGACAGGTTTTTCTGGTAACCTGATAGTAAAATCGCTTTCTCAATTCTAAAGATAGAGCTACTATAAAAATCTAGTGATAACACAGCCTAACAACCAAAAGTATTTTGCCCTTGGTGTCTTGGCTTGTAGGCCTGATCCTGAGGTTACGGGGGGCTGGGGGGCTGGGGCTCTGATCCAGAAAACTGCATTTAATAGACTGTATCAGTGGGCTATCATTTCTTAAATATGGTGTTCCACAGTATTTTCAAGCTATTAAATTATACTAATTTAACTCCTGGTTTTAAGTGTGAGAATTCAGACCCATAAAATATAAGACAAAAGGAGGTAAGAAATATTTGAAAAATAATTAGGTATTAAGGGACTTCCGAGGGAAGCTATATATGGATTCCTGGTGGCTAGTTGGTTATACATTGAACTGCCAATCATAAGGTCAGTGGTTCGAAACCACTGGTCACTCTGCAGCCTTTGGAAGATTAAGAGAGGCAGTTCTTCTCTGCCCTGTAGGGTCACCATGAGTTAGAATCAACTAGATGCCGGCAGGTTTTCTTTTTGCTGTGGGAGGTTGTAAATATATACAGAATACAAGTGGGATACTGCAAAGCCAGAACACAGCTTAAGAAGGTGGATAATAAATGTAAAGGCACACCTGTGGAAGGTGTGCTGGCAGTTTACAGTGTCAGAAGTTAAGACTTCATATCAGTGTTCATGAATATTTTGAAGATCTAAATTTTTTTCAAATTATACCGTAAACATTTTAGAACACGTTAATATAGAGAAATCAACAGATAATTCATGTTAAACATGTTAGAGGTCAGGTGGATTCCAAGGTTCTTTATAAGCAAAGTAATTATATGGGGTTTACGTGGAGAGCAAATGTTTTGAGAATGATGAGGGTAACAGATGTACAAATGTGCTTTATACAATTGATGTATGTATGGATTGTGATAAGAGTTGTATGAGACCCCAATAAAATGATTTAAAAAAAAGAATTATAAGAGTGTTTGTGCACAGGTGGAGAAGTTGTGTCATCCTATAACAAGCCTGGAACCTTTAAATTGTAATAAGGGAATTTGAACTCTGACAGATCCAATAGGGGATTCGGAACTCCTGAATCTCTACTGTATAAAACACACTACTACTCAGTTGATTAAGACTCATAGCGACCCCATAGGACAGAGTGGACCTTCTCCTGTGGATTTCGGAAGCCGTCAATCTTTACGGAGCAGAAAGTCTCACCTTCCGCTTGCAGAGCAGCTGGAGGACTTGAATACCTGACCTTGTAGTTAGCAGTGGAACACAGAACCCTCTAGACCAGGGGTTCTCCACCTTCCTCAGGCCGCGACCCTTTCATGCAGTTCCACATGTGGCGGTGACCTCCCAGCCAGAACATGATTTTCGTTGCTGCTTCATAAATGTCATTTGGCTACTGTTCTGAATTGGGCAACCACTGTGAAAGGGTCGTTCGACCCCCAAAGGGGTCATGACCCACAGGGTGAGAACTGCTGCAGTACACCATCAGGGATCCTTATTTCTCGTGCAGTAACTTACTTCTGGCCCCTCTCGAGACACATTGGGCCCTTGTCCTGGTGCTGCTTCCACATGGTTTTCCGAGCTCCACTGTAACGCTCGGACTCTTGCGTAGCCCCAGCACAGCCATGCGTGCTTTCCAGAGACAGCGTGCACGATCTGAGACTGTACCACCCAAACCTCCCTTTCCCTCATAAGTTACTTGAATTCCAAAAAAAAACAATAACAAATTGGAACTGCCTGCTATTCAGTTCCTGATAAAGGTGAAGTGACAGTTGGGGGAAATTCCATGTTCATGTAATTTACACTGTTCAAATTACATCTTTGGATCAAAGGACCCCAGGTGAAGTGTAACTTGACCTGAATATTTAGTACAAAACAAACGGCTTTAAATAAAACTACATAAAGATATCCTGATTTTTTGGTGGGTGAGCAGAGTGAAGAGTGGCAGAGGCATATGTGCTGTGTCTCAAAAGCCAGAGCCGATCGGGGAAACAGGTGCCGTTTTCAGAATCAGCACGTCACTTGACCTGCTGATTCCAAAAACAAGTTTAACATCCCCCCAAAAGTTTCACATTTGAGGCACTAAAATGTGTAATATTATACATCAGGAGTGTCTAGCACAGACTCTTGTATCTCACATCTGTTGGACTATAGTGGGAAAACCCTTTGGGGATAAATGGTGATCTCCTGTCTCTGCCGGACCTTAGCGAAACGAATTGTCTTCTTTAGGGTGTATGGTTAGGTCGGCATTGAAGTTAGAGGAACTGTGATTCGACAAATTACCTTTAACATTCAACATGGATTCTAGACTCACCTCAAGACTTTAAAATGGAATTGAGGCTCAGCTTTCAGAATGCTCTGTGTTCACACACAAGTGCCTCTCGCTTTAAACTCTCATAGAGAGGGACTTGAATTTCTGTATCACAGATTAATCTTGTATTATACAAGTGCTTTAAAATAGTTTCTTGAAACTGATCAATTCCAGGTGAACTGATGAAATCAAATTTTAGGATTTACAAAGCAAGGGCAAAACCTGACCGAAAGTCATGGCACCACCTCTCTAAATACACATATGCATGTGTACGTGTGTGTACACACACTTCCATCTCTAGCCTTCTGAAACATGCAGTATTCCTTGGCCCTTTAAAAAAGCCCTCAGATGCTCCCTGATAGTACAAATATGAGAGGGCGTGTGTGTGAAATAAATGGTCTTTTAATGGACCACTGAACAAGCAGATACTAGTACCACACATTGAAATAAAGTTTCCATCATGAAAAGTATGCTAAGACCTGGTCCCTTAACTTATTAGAGAACCTTAAAATTGGGTTAGTCAAGAAAACCAAAACTAGTTTACATGAAACACAAAGAGTGCTAAAGCCATAAACTATGATGTCGGTTGTAAGCCTAATGAAAGTTCGGATGTAGGAGTTTGGTGCACACCGCAGCAGTCTGGGAAGGTTCCCTGCGAGAGGTGAATGTGACCTGGGCTTGCATTGAGTGGGAAAATCAAGAACAGGAAGGAGTGAGGACAAGCTAGGCTAAAGGTATAGCACAGCGGTTCTCAACCTGTGGGTCACAACCCTTTTGGGGGTCAAACAACCCTTTCACAGGGGTCGCCCAATTCATAACAGTAGCAAAATGACAGTTATGAAGCAGCAATGAAAATAACGTTACGGTTGGGGGGTCACCACAACATGAGAGGAACTGTATGAAAGGGTCAGAGCATGAGGAAGGTTGAGAACCACTGGTCTAGCACAAGCAAGGACAGGGCAGAGACGTGTGTCCATGCGTGGTGGTGAGCAACTTGAATGCAGTGAGCAGTCAAGACTGATCTTACGCTCGGTGACACATATGTACACCTAGATGGGGAGAAAGGCGGTAACATCACACCTGGGGCTCTGCGGGCAGACAGAGAATATATGTAAGTATATAATAGTAATAAATTGTATTGAGGATCTGTGAAGGTATTTAGAACATTTCTGTCCTCTCAGAGACTGAAGAGAACCCACACCTTAAGAATTTTGATCAGGGTATGTCAAAGAAAACAGGAAGCGGAAGAGGTGTGTGTGTGTGTGTGTGTGTGTGTGTGTGTGATTAAAGGTCCCGAATCAAAGTGTATGGCCCTTCTTTTCTTTCGCAGAGCTCTTTCATATGGTTTGGGGCACACAATAGCAGGAGTAGAGCTGCTTTATCCTTAGGATCGGGATACTGAGTGCTGAGAAACCTGCCATGGGCTCAGGAAGCTGCTGAAGGGGCGGAGAGAAACAGGCAAGGCAGCAACAACCAGAGGCCAAGTGCAAGCCACAAAGATGCCAGTGAGAATTAGCCTATGTGGGGCCTACCCAGGATTTTTCAGAACAGCGATGTGTCAGTGTACGAGTTCAGTTACTCTGTGGTTGCTATCTTTGCCCATGCCGAACGTTGACTTCATTAACACCACGCCTTCAGAAACTAATTATCAGTGTGGGCTTTGGTCGTCTGAAAATTAGTCTTATGGAAAGGAATTAAAGTTGTTGGGGATCAATCAAAGGACTACCACCTTGCTCAGATCACCCCTCTGAGGTTGACAGAGTTGGCAGAGTCAAATCAGAGGAGGATGTTAATTGGGGGCTTGCAGGTGCTAACACGTGGGAAAAGAAA